ATTATCAGTATTATATATGTATAAACATATGTATAATACGTGTATATATAGCACATTTGTATTTATGTGTATGTATGTATATATATTATATATACACATATATATGTGTGTATATATACATTAATGCAATCTGTTGAGTCCATTTACTGTTGCTTGTATGTATATTATTTCAGGCTTGATCACTTGGTATTGGATAACCAACTAGGGGGCTTATCTTTGGAGCATTCTAATTCTCCAGCCCTCAGCCTTCCTTAGTTGCTTGTAATTCTTCATTTAGAGTACCTGCCTTCCTTCCCTCTTCCCTCAGTGAGATTTAGATTCCCCTATCTCATTAGCATGTCTATTGGTGTTATTCTTGTTCAGGCAGGTGTTATGGGTGTTGCTTCCTTGTCATAAAAGGCAGTACCACAGCTGTTTTCCTGGTCCTCTGCCTCTTACTCTTTCTACCCCCTCTTTTGTATGTTCAAGGGACTTGGGTACAGGGTTGTATTGTAAATGCATCCATTAGGGATGGGCACTCCAACGTCACTTGCTCTCTGCATTTTGATCAATTGTTTTCTGTGGTGGTCTCTTTCTGATGCAAAAAAAAGTTTCTTTGATGTACCTGTGGATAGATTTTTAGCTTGTGGTTAGGAAGTTAGGATTACTAAAAAGTAGAAGAGGGTCTTCTTTTAAATCCATGACTTTACAAGCTGAGGAGAACTATTGTTTGCTTTCCTCCCTTGGCAGCTTGCTCAGTACCTACAGTGCTATGAAAGCTGGTCTTCGGGGAGCAGGTTTTCAGGTCATACACAGCTGGACTCCTCTGAGTCCTGTGTACAAAGTGCGTGGTGTCTTCAACAATAGGGGCTTATTTTCAATTTCTGGGAAGCAACCAAGGGAAGCAGCAATAGCTATCACTAGAGGAAGGAGAGGGGCAGAGAACTGAGATGGCCTTGTGAATTACTGCAGGGTGTGGAGGGCACAGGCCTGGCCTTCATTGTCTTCACTGAAGCCATCACGAAGATGCCAGTGTCTCCACTGTGGTCGGTACTCTTCTTTATCATGCTCTTCTGCCTCGGCCTCTCGTCCATGTTTGGGAACATGGAGGGGGTGGTTGTACCCCTTCAGGACCTCAATCTCATCCCTAAGAAGTGGCCCAAAGAACTGATGACAGGTATGTACAAAGTCTACTGTCCGAGGGAGACCTGCTTATGTTCCCTGTGGCAATGGGTGGGTACAGACCTGGGTTGAACAGTCATAGCCACAGCTCTGCTCCCTGTCTGGCCACAGGCCTCATCTGCTTGGGGACATATCTCATCGCCTTCATTTTCACACTGAATTCGGGCCAGTACTGGCTCTCTCTCCTGGACAGTTATGCTGGCTCCATCCCTCTGCTAATCATCGCCTTTTGTGAGATGTTTGCTGTCGTCTACGTGTATGGAGTAGACAGGTAGGAGGGGTAGCTCTGTGGTAACGCGGGCCATCTTTAGCAGAAAAGCTGAGTCAGACTTCCTGCTAAGCTGGGCCAGCCAAGTAGGGATAAGGGAGGTAGGCGTGCCATGGCACACAGCCTTCACTATTGTGCAAATGAGTTTAGACTTCCTTCATAGGAGTGGGATGGCATTGGCTTAGTCCTGAAACTTGGTCCAAGCGGTGGAGAGAGGCCAGAGGATGAATGGTTGGCCTTGCTGAAGTGGTGCCTCCTTTCTTATTAGAAGTGATATAAATAGTACCTCTAACTCCCAATAGCTCCTGCTACCTATGCAGGTATACTAGAAACTGGCACATAGTAACTTGGGTGCCAGAGAAAGAAAATGCAAAAGAAAATTCAGACACATCTGAATATACAACATATATATGTTGTATATATGTATATACATACATACAGACACACACACATATATACATATGTATATATAAAATCTAACTCTAAACACGACCTTTCTGGCACCCTCAAAGCAGCTCTGGGGCCTGGACAAAGGTAGGGAGAATGTGGGAAGAAGGGGAGGGGATGGATGCAAGAAGAGTTCAGGCTCTGTAAGACCTGGACCTCACATGTCCTTAGGCAAGACAGAGCTCAGTGTTATTTATCCACTTGGGGTCTACACCAGGGGTGCTTCTGAAATTGTGCATAGACCCTCCTAGGGGGGCTCAGCAGCTAGCTAAAACTCAGGCATGAAAAGGCAGGCAGGGCAACTGTTAAGGGCCACTTCCAACTGTCAGCTTGACCCAACATCTCAGCAGGGATCCAGGAAGCTACATCTTCAGAGGAGATGTATTTCGACCACTCTAGAATGTTCTGTCTGTATCCATTAAAATTACATTGGTGTAAGCCCTTTGCTGGGGGTCCTGTTCTAGAAAACCTATTTGAAGTCACTGAGAAATGAAAGTGCACAGGGCACATGGACAAGGTTATGTCCGCACGAGTGGAAGCCAGACTCTATAGGCTGAGGAGCACAGGGCCAGCCATGTGGCGTTTGTGATGTTTGGAGGCACCGGCAAGGAATGTATCAACTGAAATGCGGTTGCAGCTAGCTCATGCACAGCGGTCTGAGTTCCGCACCACTGTGAATAGCATGGGGGAGGTGATTGCCCAAGTATGTGAAGAAAGACAGCCACTGGACCAGCAATAGACTCAATGTCCCGGTTTCTCACTGACCCTGCACCTAAGTCCTGGTGTCTGCTGGGGCCCAGGATAAATTGCCGGTTTGTTCCATATGTCTCATTCCCATCACGAATCCCTGTCTACAGAAGGGAGTTCTGCCACAGAGCAGGCTTCGAGCAGGTCAGGAAATCATGGGCATCACCTAACTTCAGGGTGCGCTGCTTGCGCAAGAGCTACTGACTCTCGTGTGCACTGGCAGGAGGAAAGTCTGATGGCCCACTGTCCTCACTGTCACATGACAGGAAGTGGGTGAGAGTATGAGACCTCTGATGGTAAACTTACATTGCAGTGCTGTGGGGATTCCAAGAAGCTTGGATGGAAGCTGCTGACAGTGACCACCCAGGACCCCTCTGAGTGCAGGCACATCTTTGCCTGCAAAGTTAGAGGACCCTATCAAGGGAAGGCCAAAGCACAACATCTCAAGATGACAACCATTGTCCAGATATAGAAAACCGGTTGGTCATCTGCCTTCATGAGCTTCCTGTCCTCTGCTCTCTGCTGCAGGTTCAACAAGGACATCGAGTTCATGATTGGCCACAAGCCCAACATTTTCTGGCAAGTTACATGGAGAGTGGTCAGCCCACTGATCATGCTGGTCATCTTCCTCTTCTTTTTTGTTATTGAGGTCAACAAAAAGCTCATGTACAGCGTCTGGGACCCTAACTATGTAAGTGCCCATTGGCTGGGAGGAGAGGGAGGAGCTCTGAGGGGGAAGGAGGCAGACAGACAGTGGGGCACGAGGAGGGTCGAGGGGTTCCTTTCCAAGAAACAGAAGGTGAGATTGTGGGGATTTGCAGACCTTTCCCCCATCTGTAACCCGTGGATCTCTCCCCAGGAGGAGTTCCCCAAATCTCAGAGGGTCCCATATCCCAACTGGGTGTACGCTGTGGTGGTCATCGTGGCTGGGGTGCCCTGCCTCACCATCCCCTGCTTTGCCATCTACAAGCTCATCAGAAACCGTTGCCAGAAGTCTGGGGACCACCACGGTCTGGTCAATGCACTGTCCACAGCCTCTGTGAATGGGGACCTGAAGTACTGAACGGGCCTAGCCTGTAAAAGGCAGAAGATGGTGTGTGGAGGAGAGCAAGAGGCAGGACCCTTGGGGGAAGTGGGCTGTAATGCGTGTGAGTGCGTGAGTATACATACATGTATTCATGCATTACACAGGTGTGTACACAAATGTTACACACAAATGTGGGGCACACAGGTGTGTTTATGTGTATATTGCAGTTGTACTCGTGTGTATATATATACATATATAGAGATGTGCATGCACATATGAGGTGCAGATGCTCTAAGAGAGTATATGTGTCAGTGTGAGCTTGTGTATGCACACTGTCCGTATGTTTGTGCATATATACTGGGAGGTGCCTATATATTTGTGTATATGCACATGAGTGCTATTTGTATGAATGTATATGCTCTGTGTTAACACATACATGTGTGCACACATGTGTGTATACACATATTCACACATGTACCTCTGGAGATATGTGTATATAAATGTATGAACATGCACTTATAAGCCTATGTACATATATGTATGTGTGTGTCTTCACACGTGAGTTTTTGTGGTGTATATGTACATGCGTGCACATGTACACATACATTTGTGCATGTACATACATATATTGTACGTGCACATGTCTATGCTATCTTTGTACGCATGGTACATGTGAAAATGTTTTCTATATGCTCAATATAGAAGTGCCTACCACTCTGGCCTCCACCTGCCCTCACTGTAGGGCTTGGACTACAGACATGGCTCAGCACCCACCTTGTGCTGCAAATTCCCAGCAGAGAGCCAAAAGTGAAGGATGGCCTCCTTCCCTCCAAGTGGAAGGCAGGAGGTGAAGCTATGCTGCTTGCCTGGCTCCTGGGCATGTTGTCCCTGCCCACTCCCAGCTGATCCCCTGACCCTTGCTATGAGTTCTGGACCAAGGCCCCTAAATTAGAAGTCTGGGCCCTTCTGCTCTTTAAGGAGAAACACAGGAAGTTGGTGGGTTGGCAAGGCCGAGAAGATTTGTCTCAGTCAGAACCGGCACACCCTTGCTTCCTGAATGCCTGCTTAATCATTGGTTGCTGAACAGGCCTCTGAGAAGCCAAGCTGACTTTCCCTTCTCTGCTGAAGGGGGAGCCACCCTGTGCACTTCTGAAGAGGGCACAAGCCCGTAAATCTTTAGCCAAATGTTGGAGAAGGAGGGTTACAGGGTAACTCAGCTGTGGCCACTGTGTTGAGGACTCCAAGAGTCCTGGGCACCCCAGTGACTGAAGCCTAGAAGTCTTCAATCTTGTGGCAGTCAGTGAAGCCACAGAGGCTATGTCTGCCCCTTGCCCCCAACAGGCTGGTTGTTTCTGGGTTCATGCCCACTCTCAGTTTATAGGTATTTATTGCAACAAGCTACTTCCCTCTTCTTTCCACGGAAAAGCCCAAATTCAAATAGAACTGGATTTTCTGAGAATTCTCACAAAGAAGGGAGAGAAACTGTGGTGGGCCCTAATATCATGTTCTTCCTACTTGGTGACACCAGCCACACTTCACCCACCATAAGAAGCAGCGCCTACTGTTGAAACACCGAGTCCTCTTACAAAGTACTCTTCCATACACACTGATCGCTTGGGTGCTATGATCTGAAGAACCATACAGAGGCAGAGGAAGGTGCTTGGCCCTGGGGGAAATATGAAGGGTCACACACTAGCAGTTTCAATGGGTCCCGCCTCTGGGCCTCTGAAACCTCATCTGGAAAAACTACTAATTGGTGCCCATCAGTTGTGCATACCAGAGATTCCTGTGTGGCCCTGTGTGGCCTGGCCAGAGGCCAAGCAAATTCTCTGCTATCTCTGGTCCATGCCTTATGTTTAGGCCTCATGTCTCCAAGTGTGATGGAAATCAGGTTAGTTGATAGTTCTAAAATACATCTTTCTCAATAAAGCACTCTTATTTTATGTTCTTGGGTTAAGAGTCATTATTCGGGCATAGAAGGATGAGCAGGACCCATGGCAGGCACCAAGAACTTGCAGGAATGATGTGTTCAGTAAGTCCAGTCCTACATGGCAGAGAGCTGTAGACTGGGGGATTTCTCTGAAGAGGTTCCTACAGCCCAGAGAGGGACAGATAAGACTGTACTGTGGCTGTATAGTTTTACACATTCTGTTGCCTACTGGCAGGTGACCAGAAGGTCTTTGGACTTGGGGCATGGGGGCTGCATGGGAATGAGGTTAGCTGGAAACAGAGTACCAAGATAGAGGAGGTAGAAGGAGAGTCACAGAAGCACGCTCAACACAGGTGTAGGGGTGACATCGAGGGGGTGCACCTCCTAGCCGAGACTCTCCTCCATACCCTCCACTTCCCTCCATCTCTTATCTCTTCTCAAACTTTTACTCACTTTACCACCAGGCTCAAAATGGGGTCTCCTATAAATGCAGCCCCTAGAGCCTAGGCTTCTGCAGCCTACATATTTGGAATTGTGGCTGCATAGTTGTCAGAAATAGTGTCCAAGAGGATGAAGATTACAGGTCCCAAGATTGCAGGGCTAAAGATGCCTTTAGTCTGTCCCCAGGGAAAAGCATCATGAGGGAAGAAATCTCAGAATCTGGAGAGCATCACAAACACATGTGGTAGAGTCACTCTGTCCTGCCCAGTTACCCCAGACAACATTGAGGTCACTAGGGCAGAACCCCTACACATGAAAAAGAAGCATCCTGTGCCCACCCCTCAAAACTCTTGTCCATAAAGAGCTATGGGCTATACTCAGCCAGGGTCTTCTGTGCTGTGCCTAGAGTCTGGAGCAGGTGCAGCCTGGGGGTACAGGTGGGCTTTTTCTTGACAAATCCAAACACGGAGGTTTAGAATTAGCCACAAAATCCACAGACCTGGAAAAATAAGTGTACTTGAAGACTAAGCATGCCGTAGACCCCTCCCCCCCCCCAGACTTCATGTCCCAGGGAAATAAAGACCACATTCAACACCCACACATGGCCAAGATTATCTCCTCACAGCAGCTGCACCTGGGGCAGCCCAATAGGACTGGTGCGGTGGATGTGTAGTTTGAACAGTGGTGTGTGTTCTGGACAACACACACTGCTCAGTAAGAGAACCCAAAGAATTCCAGACTGTATTGGGAGAAGGCTGAAGGCATGGGCTGTGTACTCCAAGCCCATTCACAGAACTTCATGAGAGAAGACTGCGGGCAGCTTGGGCTCCTGGGGCCACTGGGTGAGCATCATGGAGCAGCAGGTGCCCCCTGGCACATTGTTTTGGACCACAACACTTTCTGTTCACATACTGCCATAAGTTTCAAGGTATCACCCTGAAGAGGAGAACACTTTGGGGTCTTCTCTGCTGCCTCTCATGGAAGGTGAGCATGTATTACTTACACCACAGGCCTAGTTACAGAATAAATAGCTTTAATGGCCAACTGAACTTGTCATTCTGGGAGTCCTGCAGGTCCTATGGAGCATCTGGCCTATATGGAGTGTGGTGCTGGCGGGCTCTGCTACTCACTGATCACATGACACTGAAAATCTCAGGCAGGCTGGTAGATGCGGGTATTGAAGATGGACTCTGCAGTAGGCAGGGACTTGATGCCAGTTAGCAATTAACCGGGCTTCTTTAAATAAATGGAGAAATTCCTCGAGGTGGGGCTGACTGCTCCAGCTTTATCAGTCCAGCAGAGACTCCAGAGGGCCTACTGGACTAGTGTGCTGCAAGGCGCCCACTGTACACCCATACTTCCCAGCCATTCCAAGGGTGACTGCTTGGCATGGCACAAGCCTCAGGGATGGACCCGCTTGTGGACATGGAGGATGAGAGGCCCAAGTGGGACAACAAACTCCAGTACCTCCTGAGCTGCATTGGCTTTGCCGTGGGGCTGGGTAACATATGGAGGTTCCCCTACCTGTGCCAGACCTACGGGGGAGGTAAGTCACCTGCTTTGCACCATGCCCTCACTCTAGCTTTTTTCGCCCTTGAGTGGCAACTGTCTGTTCTTGGAAATACTGTCTTGCCATTATCCAAAGAATAGCCTATTGTCTTTTTGTTGTTGTTGTTGTTGTTTTGTTTGTTTTTTCGAGACAGGGTTTCTCTGTGTAGCTTTGGAGCCTATCCTGGCACTCGCTCTAGAGACCAAGCTAGCCTCGAACTCACAGAGATCCGCCCACCTCTGCCTTCTGAGTGCTGGGATTAAAGGCGTGTGCCCCCAATGCCTGGCTTTAGCCTAGTGTCTTTGAGTCAGTTCTGGTATCCAAACTTCTGGTATCTTGAATAAGGGTAGGATGTGGTACAGCTGCTGCCTGTCACATCACACCTTTGTCCTGGATGTAAGCAGAAGACTCTGGGTTCCTATCACTGCCTTGGTGTCCAGCTGGACTCAGGGTTAATTTCTTCCTGGTTCTTTGTATAATTGTATAGCAAGATGTTTGACTCCACCAGCGATCCACCCCAACGCCAACACAGCAGCTCTCCCTGAGAGCCCAGAGGTTCTGCAGGACACCTAGGACTATGAACACTATTTTATTGATCATTAAACTCTACTTATGAGAGCCTATTACTTAGTAAAGGAGCCAAGTCACCCCTCCCCCCCAGCCTCCCTCCCTCAGATACCTGTTTCCCTTCACATGGCTACAAATTCAGGGCACACACTGATATCTCTATACTGGGGGTGCAGGAGGAGACATATAGGCTGTACTATCTTGAGAGCTAACGTGGAACATCTCCCAATGGGTTGTGACTTTTAGGGGTCAGGCTGGGACATCAGGCTGACCTGTTCCCCAGATTTTCTTAGCTTCTACAGTGGGTGTGAGTGTGTTTGTGTGGAGGCCAGAGGACAAACTCAGTAGTTGTTTCTCAGGTGGCACCTACCTTATTTTTTGGTACATGATCTCTCATTGACCTGGAATTTACCAAATAGGCTTTGGCTGGCTATCCAGAAAACTACAAATCTCTCTCTCTCTCTCTCTCTCTCTCTCTCTCTCTCTCTCTCTCTCTCTCTCTCTCTCTGAGATCACAAGTGTGCACAACCATGCTCAGCTTTTCACATG